AATAATAATATATTTATAATATAATTATTATATTCATGTTTACAACTTTTTCTAATAATTACTTATACTAACTAATTTTTATCTTTTCTTAAAGAAGTAACAATGCTTCCTCCACCTTTATTAGTAAAAAACAGTGCAGATAAGCAGTTTCAGTATGCCAAACCATTTGCAAACTCACAAGGTTATGTATTAATAAAAAAAGAACTCATAAAGACAGACATAGTAAATTAAAAAATATGAAATTATGTTGTGATCGAGGCGGTGTATACAATAATTTCTTAAACCTAACTGAAGAAATACGCAATAGGCAAAAAAATATGCAGTTAATTGATTGTTCATTTGAATTGTATGCAAGTTGATGTAATAAATTATAGTATCTAGAAGTTCATAATTCTGTCCATAACCATGATCTTTCAAGCAATATATCAGGATACCCAATTGCCTGAAGACTTACTGACCAGCAGTTAGAAAGTGTTGCGGTGATGATCAATGCTGGCTTATTACCTCGAGAAATTATTTTAACCCTTCAGCAAAAAGATAAATCAACATTAGTTACTAATAATGATGTATATAATGCACGTAAGTGACTTTGACAGAAGAATTTAGCAGACCATACCCAATTCAAGCTCTTGTAGACGAACTTTAGAAAAAAGATTTTTTATATAATTATGAATATGATAATAATAGGGCCGTTATTTATCTGTTTTTTGCTCATAATGAGTCCATTACCCTTACCCAACAATATCCATTCATACTTCTTATAGATTGTACCTACAAAACCAATAAGTTCAAAATGCCCTATTAAACGTTGTCAGCATAACTAGTCTCAACACCACCTTCTTCTCTTGCTTTTCCTTTATGAAAAATGAAGATGATGATGATTACAAATAGGCCTTAATACATATTGCTCGATTGTTTAATAAGGGATCGATGTCTGAAATTATTGTGACCAACAGAGAATTAGCTCTCATAAATATTCTTGAGATAATCTTTCCTGAGTCAACAAATTTGCTTTGTATGTGGTATATAAGCAAAAATATCTTGAAAACTTATAGATCACAATTTCCCAAAAATACCAAAGACAATAAAGACAATGAGTAGAAAAATTTTCTTAGAAGATGAAATGATATTGTTAGCTCAGAAACAGAAGATGAATTTAATACAAAATAAAAAAATTTCTGTTCCACTTACAGTAATAAAGCAAGTATCATATCCTATCTCGGGGAATCGTGGATGATATGAAAAAGGCGGTTTGTAAAGGCTTGGACAAATAAAACCCTTTATTTAGGATCAACAACAACTTTTCATATTGAAGGTTTATATGCAGTTCTTAAAAC